GATTCTAGGAAGTCCCAATCAGCTGTGAATTTCAAAACATAAATTACTGACCTGCCAATGACTTTGTGAAAATTCAATATCAGCTGCCTTTAGATGTCTTTTAAGCCATGGTATTTCTTTTGAAAGTTCATCTTCTGATAACTCATCATAGAAAGAAGTTACTTTTGGAACGTACACCAATAACTCTTCTTGACTTGCTGATACTAGACTCTTGTGTTGAACACCCCCAAACATATCTGCTACTTCCATGATCGCTGATGATCTGATCTGTAGTTCCGAATGAAAGCGATCAATACACTCCAGAATCTCCCTAATGGCTTCGTCTCGAAGAAAGAGTCCAGCATCTATTAATTTTTATTCTGCATTTCTCTTCTTAAACCTTAATCTTCTCACTACCGAAACTCCATAGTGGTCTGATTTTAAATATTTTTTTTTTCAATACCATGTTCCATCAAGGACCTCAAGCTGATGAGCCCAAAGGTAAAAGGTAGCAGATAAACTTAAAATCACAAACATAATAATTAAAGGATTACATTTCAAATCAAAGGCAGCATGCAAAAGACTTTGTTCTGTACCTCTTGTATCCAAATTTTCAAGAGGATTACACAAAGCTTCAATAGCCGCCACACATTCATCAAACTCATCTTTCACTTTCACTGTCTTAACAGCAGCATGATAAGTACTCCAATGCTTTGTTGATAGTCTTTTCACTGACATGCCAGTGTGTTCAAATAGAACATTTCATTGATGAGTGGATGCAGCAAAGAAGGAAAATATTCTTTCAAGTGTACTGAAACATGTCATACGTGAACCTTTCCGCAAAAGAGTGTTGACCACACAAGTTAAGCGTATGGTACACAAAAGAGTGTTGACCACACAAGTTAAGCATATGGTACACAAAAGAGTGTTGACCACACAAGTTAAGCATATGGTACACGCATCCATTAAAAATAGCGTCCTTATTATTTCTTTTCAGAATAACCTGAACGCCTCCATGGATTCCAGATATGTTGGCATCGTTATCGTAACCTTGAGCTATGAACATCATTATGTCTAGCCCATCAAGTTTCAGATTTGTAAGAATTTCAGACAAGAAGTCATCAGCTTTTGTCCCTCTTAACGGGAAAAATCCAAGAAAAACTTCTCTCACTTCAACTTTCCATTTGTGGATGCTCACATATCTGGTCACTTCAGATATCTGGTCAGTTTGTGATATATCAGGTGTACTTTTGAACATAATTCCAAAATACATCGCAGCCTTCATGTCCATGATAAGAATCTCCTTCATATGATTTTCAAGGAAATTATAAATTCATTTTAGGTTTATGGTGAAAGGTAAGATGCGGATGCTTTTTCATGTAGATGTACTCCTCTTTAGCCTCATTTGGTGCTCTTTTAGCACTTGATCGTATTTAGATAGCATATCAACCATTTCAATAAAGTTTTAGTGAAGATTCGTCTCCAATCTGGCCACAAAATGCCAGAATTTGCTTTGCAAGAAACAATATGATATACTACAACCTGTAAATGATATCCCTCCACATTTCTTTTCCCTGTCCATCAATGCAATACTTTCGGGATCAATTGTATTGTGTGTCCTAAGTCCTGCTCCCAATGCTTTCCACTTTTCAAGGCAACATAGGCGCTCTTCCGATGCTTCATGCTTTTGTAATTTTGGGATCAGTTTTCACCACTTATCAAAGTCAGTAACAAAATTGGATGTTGTTTCTGTAACATTAACAGCAATCAATCTGCAGCACAAACAATTCAATTTATGACTGAAAAGTGAAAAAAAAAACAATCTCCAAGACCACCCATTTTATCGCCATTTTGCATCATCCCGTAGATCCATTGTTTTGTAAAATAAAAGAGCATTATTGTAAAATAATATAATTTTTAACCCTATAAATAGGTAAAAATTCATTTATAATGTTTTTAATTTTTACCGATTAGTACACTTGTAATCGCCCTATTACACCGGCCTATTTCTCAGAATCTATATAAATATAGCCTCCTGTCACTTACGGACGTTACCGAACACTTCAATTGGCGTGGAATAATGACTGTGTTTTTCTGACCTAAATATAGGATGATCTCATTTCTGACGCATCAACCTTGAACTTTTAATAAAGCGCGCATTTGGATTGGTTACATTTGTGAAAAATATATGTGTGATCGGTTATTCTTTTATGAATCTCGGTTTTTGAGAGCAATGTGTGCCCTGTAAATATGCAATTTTTCATTCGGGTGTCACCCCTAAAATGGTGTCACCCGGTGCGGTCCGCACCCCCCGCACCTGCCTCGCTACGCCACTGCCTCAATTAGTCTCCACCGTAGTTATTCTCCTGTAGATCAATTAGTCTCAACTGTAGTTATTCTCCTGAAGAAGAAAGCAAAGAATCCGTTTACTGCGTCATTTGGGAATACTATTCAGAGACATGATGATGATGATTGTCCCAGTAGCCAGCCACCATTCATACAACATGAACTAAATTCTTTTTTGCGAAGATGTTCTCCACGTCATCATTGAATTATTTCTATCCATGGAACCTCTGCGGACAATTTTTTTTTCTTTCTCTTCTTTTTTTCTTTTATTTTCTTAAACAATTCGGCAGTTGGATAAAATTGTGTCCCACGAGTTGTGTCCCTTATCTGCAGTCCTGACTCTCCAATCATGGTGGGTGAATTTGCGGTTCTCTTGGTCTGTCTTCAAGTTAGCTTGGTCTTGGGTAAGAAAAACTATTTTTATTATTAAATTTTGCTTTGGTGGTAAATTAAGGCTGCGACTATTCACACCCGGGTACCGGAAGTGAGAGGTTGGGATTAAAAAAACTATTTAAAATATTATTGTTGGGTTTATAAGACAAAATGAGATATCAAATGAAAGATAACTGAATGGACTATATTACTATATGTTTGTAAAATTACTTCTTCAGTTTAACTAAAATAAAATACCACAAATGACATCCGAATAGCATTGGTCTAATTACACCCGGGTGCGAATGGCGGTGCTGCGTGTCTTGGGCCATTTAACCACCACAAAATGGTATTCGGATGTCATTTGTGGTAGTTGATTTATAAACAACCAAGTTATTTGAAGCATACCAACCATTGTTCATGCTGCCTCTGGATTCGAAGAATATTATCCTTTTGTCTTTAGATTTGCAGAATGACAATATGTTAAAAATCAGAAAAGTTAACTTTCGCTTTATATTCAGTTTTAGCCAAACGTGATTGAGGCTTTTGGCCATCTACCAGAAGTCAAACTGATACTCTGTCTGTCGACCCGAAATCCAATAATCATAATTGCTCGATGTATTGTCTTCATCCTATGATATATGACTAATCCTCTGCGAACATTGCTTACAGCTGCATGATGATCCACCTGTCCAATATTTCAAAAAAAATTATAAAATTACATTTACGCTTAGGCAAAGGCATATAGTTTTGTGGATTAAAAAAAGACAACTTAGGGGATGTTTCTATTTATATTTTTATCATTATTTTATCATTTTTTCAAAAATAAAATTTAGGAACTCTAGTTTATTTCAATTCATTCATTCGTAACATTCATTTTCCATTTATCCTTATCATGCTGATAAATGTTGTCATGGGTAAAGGTGAATAGAATTGTGAAGAAAAAACCCAAACTAACCGGTAAGTGTGGTGGTGTTGTTAGATTAGTTGACGCCAACAATCATTTTTTCTCTATTAAAATTTTCATCTTAAAAATTGACTGGTAATTACATTATTTAAAAAAGAAATTATAAGTTTAAATGTGTGTAAATAGACATATAATTTTTAGGCTTTTAACAATATAAGATTTATTTAATGTGTGTCTGTCTGTGCACTGCTGATGGCTGGTCAGAATGTTAGCACACTTTGTTAGTGCAAGAGAAATCAAAAGTTAAACGATATTAACAGAGAGGAATGCGATATTTTGAGAATGAGGGGAACGTAAAGTGAGTAACAATAATACCATCGCGGCTTGAACGGATTTGTACAATCTGTCACATCTATTTGGCATCACAAGTCATGTTGAAAAAGCACGCTCAAAAGCCCCGACAATGCCCTAATGGAGCATAAGAAATTAGCACCTGCTCCTCAACACAAAAGGATTCGGCCATTAAGAGTAGCTGCAAGGTGACAGAGAGAGTTTTTGACAACCATTGCTAACATCGACAATGCTTCTATTTTAAGTGCTGAATGGCTATACGAGGATGAAGTTGACTTGTCTGGTATATGAGTGCCACAAGATGGAAATGATAAATCAGTATACAATAGACTATGCCCATCAGGGACGTCATTTCAGGGTTTTTTCAAGGGGGGGGGGGGCAAAACCAAAACTTTGTCGGCTTGTTAAATTTCTTATTGCTGGAGTTTCTTTGATAGTTGATAATTTGATGCATAGTTGACAGTTTGTTTGAAAGTTGATAATTTGATTGATAGTTGACAGTTTGTTTGATAGTTGATAATTTGATTGATAGCTGACAGTTTGTTTGATAGTTGATAATGTGATTGATAGTTGACAGTTTATTTGATAGTTTATAATTTGATTAATAGTTGCCATTTTGTTTGATAGTTGATAGTTTGTTTGAAAGTTTATTTTTGTTTGATAGTTGATCGTTGCCGCCATTATTTTGCGGACAACAATGCCGCTAGGTCCATCCTAGGCAGCATGGGTCCATCCTAGGCAGCATGGGTCCATCCTAGGCAGCATGGGTCCATCCTAGGCAGCATGGTCCATCCTAGGCAGCATGGGTCCATACTAGGCAGCATGGGTCCATATCTTCGTCCTGTTGCACATTTTAATCTGTCACAGTTTGGTGCTCCTCGATTGACCCATTTTTATGTGAAAATGAAATTATTTTATTCTCGGCAATCAACTATATTGCATTGATCCACAGCAATCCCATTTACATTCTTCAAAGTTTCCAAGAATCCTTGATTCATTTTCCTTTCTTTGTTAATCTCATGAAAAAAAAAAATTATGTTCTCCAGGTGCGTGTCCGCATGTGGTAACCAGAGCTGAATGGGGAGCCCGGGCAGCGACCAGCATCAGCCACCTGGCGAACCCGGTGCAATACGCCTTGATTCATCACACGGCAGGGGCGGACTGTCATGATAGGGCCACGTGTGTCGCACAGGTCAAGCTGACCCAAAACTATCACATGGATGGGCGCGGTAAAGTTTCTTTAATATTTATTTAGGGAAAGAAGATTTAATTCATGTTAATGTAATATAGACAACATGAATTATGAAATGTGCATGTAATATAGAAAAAAGGAATTTTAAAATGTTCATTTGATATATACAAAAGGAATTATGAAATGTTCATGTAAAATAGACAAGAGAAGAAAGACAATACGCACATTTTGCATATTAAGTTGTAAAACTCTAGAACCACGTACTTTTCTCACACCTTCACAATTAATTACACAAACTGTCTTTTGCAATTAATTACAGTATTAAACTATCGACTTCAAAAGGTGTTGTAAACTATGACATTTGGGACTAATCTAGCCCGCTCTCTCAATATGTAAGGCCTGCAAGTTAAACTTGAATTATTATTATTTAGTAAGTTGGCTACACTTCACAAAGGAGCAGTGCTTGGCTTTTAGAGATTTTCATCGGAACGCTAGTTACTTGCTTGTGTCTCGACAACACCAATTTACACATTGTTTGTGGGCGAATTAATTTGTTTCAAACCATCAACTATCCATCAGCTATCCATCAACTTTTTAGCAGACAGACAATTCTTTCATCAATTCTTTAAAACGAAATTTAAACACATTTATATAATTTACATCGCTTAAAATTGTTTCATTTCACCGGTAACAAACTGGACAGTTGACAATGTCTCTCAAGATAATCGACACCTTCGTCTGAACAGGTTACTCTGATATTTTCCTCTGAACAGGTTACTCTGATATTTTCCTCTGAAAAGTTACTCTGATATTTTCCTCAGAACAATTTACTCTGATATTTTCCTCTGAACAGGTTTCTCTGATATTTTCCTCTGAACAGGTTACTCTGATATTTTCCTCTGAACGTGTTACTCTGATATTGTCCTCTGAATGTGTTACTCTGATATTTTCCTCTGAATAGGTTACTCTGACATTGGCTACAGCTTCATGATTGGTGGTAACGGAGAAATATACGAAGGACGTGGGTGGGATAGGGTCGGAGGTCACACGCTCAACTATAACCACAATGGTTACGGTAAGTACAAATATCAAATACACAAAGCTAGTGAAATGAAAAGTCAGCGATCTATCATTCTGCTCTTCCTAATACAACAATTATAATATGACATATACAAAACTAACTTCTATAATACATGTAACTCAAAAAATAAAGAAAGATATTATCGCAATAAGACTTTCTTAAGCTCGTCTTGTATTCAGTCTGTCTCAGTCGGTAGCACACTCCCTGTGTCTCACTCGGTAGCACACTCCTTCTGTGTCTCACTTGGTAGCACACTCCCTGTGTCTCACTCGGTAGCACACTCCCTGTGTCTCACTCGGTAGCACACTCCTTCTGTGTCTCACTTGGTAGCACACTCCCTGTGTCTCACTCGGTAGCACACACCCCGTGTCTCACTCGGTAGCACACTCCCTGTGTCTCACTCGTTAGCACACTTTCTCTGTGTCTCACTCGTTAGCACACTCCTTCTGCGTCTCACTCGTTAGCACACTCCCTGTGTCTCATTCGTTAGCACACTCCCTCTGTGTCTCACTCGTTAGCACACCACACTCCCTCTGTGTCTCACTCGTTAGCACACTCCCTCTGTGTCTCACTCGTTAGCACACTCCCTCTGTGTCTCACTCGTTAGCACACTCCCTCTGTGTCTCACTCGTTAGCACACTCCCTCTTTTATAGCATAAGTCGTGGAAAGGTTCAGAAATCGTCATATAACAAACAAAGGGACAACGATGCTATTTTGGGGTCGAACGACCCTTTCACAGGGTTCACCTAAGACCATCGGAAAACACATATACTCTACAGTTATGAAGTACAAACGAAAATAATTTTGTGTTTGGGGGTCGCCACAACATGAAGAAGTGTATTATAGGGTCGCGGCAATAGGAAGGTTGAGAACCACTGTTCTAGACAGAATTTTGGCGGGAATAGGCTGTTGTCATTTCATTGTGACTGAAACGAAGAAGCTCGGAGCTGACCGAGAATCAAACAGAAGATTTCATTTTAAACGAGAAACTTAACGAACGGCCCAGTGAGACTAAAGATGTACGTTTAATCATCTTGACCTCAGTTGGTTCATACGTTCATCATTTATATTCAAATAATGTTCTGGGGGAAAGATTTTAATTAACATCTAGGATTCGAATGATGGATTCACATTAAGATAAATATTACAATACTTAACTATAAAAAGAAGAGGTCTATAATTTTATATTTAATGGAAACTTAAAAAAAAAATGTTTAATGTGCAAATCTAAAATGTTTACTTTTTATTCAGAATAAATTATTCGTAATCACCTGAAAAGAAACCACACGAAGATGAAGTGCTGACCTCAGTCCGTCTGGATGAGCCAAATAATTTCTAAAAAGATTTTTTTTTTAAATTTTAAATTTACAGAATTATGTTTGACACATCAAAACGTATCAGTTATCCAACTATTTCAAGGGAAATATAAGGAAGCGGTTTCAAGGCCGGGGTCAAGTATTGCCTACCCTTTAAACAAAATTAATTCCTTCTGAGAAAGCTGAAATGAAATTGGCTGGTGACATTTCCAGACCTGGAGCTTAAATTTGGTCGGACCAGTCTAAGGCTAATGCATTATAGCATGGCTTTATTAGCTTTGCAAAATTTAATTTGCTTATCGCCAACATTTAGTGTTTTTTTTACATATTTTTTTTATAAATTATTTTAGATGACTATGTTTTAACAAAAAAACAACAACATTTATTTAGACATATTTTTGTTCAGACTTGAGAAAGTTAATATTTTTGTATTTGTCTACGCAGCTTTTTGTTTCATCGGCACCTTCACCAGCCACGTCCCCACGGCAGCGGCTCAACAGGCGGCCAAGAATATGATTGCATGTGGGCTCGGACTTGGCAAGTTCAGGTCAGATTACACTCTGAGGGGTCACAGAGATGTTGGCGCCACCGAGTGTCCTGGCAACGCCTTTTACCCCGTCATCAAAACCTGGCCACATTATTAATTGCGTTTGTCTTGTAGACCGTAACTGGTGTTTTTCGTTTCCCTGGATGTTGCTTATCCCGGGAAAACGGGAATAAAGTCTCATTCGGGAACGCTTCTGGTGGCAGATATATTTTAAACTGAATTAAACTAATACAAGTTTTGATTGTAAGGCTGGTTTTCGTTTTGTTTGTTGTTGTGGTCTATTAATGAATGTAAAAAAAAAACAACAACAATGTTAAGGTCAGTCGAGAGGTTGGTCACTTGCTGCTGTAGTCGCTTCACTTCCCACGCCTTGTTCCTAGTAATGGATAACTGGCTAATGGAAGGCTGGATAAGCAAAAGTTGTATGTAACCGCCTCTAGAAATAACCTCAACACTTTATGAGTTTTGCATTCGTTACAGGTCCTTGATTCTAGGTTCGAATCCATAACTAAATATTTACAAGAAAATGTTTCTAACAACTTGTTATTTTCACACAACATGGTGGTAAATGTCGCGTTGTTTCTAGATACATATGGTCGTTACCTGAAAACGCTTGAGACTCACTGTATGAGAGCTACTGAGCTTGGTAATTCTGCACAGTTAACTATAGTTTACAGGTCCAGGCCATTTGTGACAATCCGTCAGTCGCAGAGTTTTTGTTTTTTAAAGTTGTAATTTAAAAGTTTACACACTGGGTTTACAAGGATTTCTCGGGATTGAAAGTTTCCCCGGAAGTGTCTTATTAACTCAAAATCCCGTGGGATCTCGGAAAAGAAACCCTAGACGCCACTGATATGAAAGACTTGTATCAAATTTGAAAGACATGTTAACTCTGTGACTTTTGTGATGTTTCAAAGACGTATTATCTTTGTGACTTGTGTGATGTTTCAAAGACGTGTTATCTCTGTGACTTGTGTGATGTTTCAAAGACGTGTTATCTCTGTGACTTGTGTGATGTTTCAAAGACGTGTTATCTCTGTGACTTGTGTGATGTTTCAAAGATGTGTTATCTCTGTGACTTGTGTGATGTTTCAAAGATGTGTTATCTCTGTGACTTGTGTGATGTTTCAAAGACGTGTTATCTCTGTGACTTGTGTGATGTTTCAAAGATGTGTTATCTCTGTGACTTGTGTGATGTTTCAAAGACGTGTTATCTCTGTGACTTGTGTGATGTTTCAAAGACGTGTTATCTCTGTGACTTGTGTGATGTTTCAAAGACGTGTTATCTCTGTGACTTGTGTGATGTTTCAAAGATGTGTTATCTCTGTGACTTGTGTGATGTTTCAAAGATGTGTTATCTCTGTGACTTGTGTGATGTTTCAAAGACGTGTTATCTCTGTGACTTGTGTGATGTTTCAAAGATGTGTTATCTCTGTGACTTGTGTGATGTTTCAAAGACGTGTTATCTCTGTGACTTGTGTGATGTTTCAAAGATGTTTTATCTCTGTGACTTGTGTGATGTTTCAAAGATGTGTTATCTCTGTGACTTGTGTGATGTTTCAAAGATGTGTTATCTCTGTGACTTGTGTGATGTTTCAAAGACATGTTATCTCTGTGACTTGTGTGATGTTTCAAAGATGTGTTATCTCTGTGACTTGTGTGATGTTTCTTTTCCTTAAAATGAAATGTGTTCAGTGTGAAATGAAATAATTTTTGTGTGACTGCCGTGTGAAACGGGGATGGGGGTGGGATGGGAATGGGAAGCCCGCCACATAACCTATATTTGGAGAAGAGCCAAATCTGCATTTTTCATTATACAAAATATGTATTAATACATTTTCATTAGATATGAGGACACCTAGGCTGAAGCCTTTACTTGGCCGCTGTATTTGCCTTGAGCACGGCCTTGAGTGGTAAGTTTTTAGTTATAGTTTCCCCATTAACAGCAATTGACACCATGAGACTTGTACCTTGAGGACCAATATAATATGCTACGTGGTCGTCTATATAAAAGGAAATGATTTTATTTTATTTTTTAACTCAACAATTTTTGAGATGAAGAGATCACTTTTATATAAGACATTATACGTTATTAGATTATTATTATTGTTACTATTATTATTTATTGGCTGAGGAATAAAAAATTAATCATTTAAATTGTTTCTGTTGTTTTTAGCTTGTCAATTTAATTTTTCTCGTACTTTTAAAAACTAATTGAAGACCAAATAAAAAAGCAACATCAGTTGTAGCTGATTGAAGTAAGTTAAGTCGATAAGTGCAGGCCTATTAGGATTTTGCATTTTGACTACTGTCACTGTTATTAGAGCAAGGAAATAGCTTATTTTTGTACGTTGTAGACTACTTGTAGACACACGCTGGGTTACAAAATTAAAATATGCAGCCTGCATGGTGATACATGAAAAATTAAAATTGCACTATAAAAAATTTATTGGTACACCTAAGATTTATTCTCTGAATTTGAAATCAAGAATATGAAAAATAATAATTAAACTTGCTTAAAAATCAACTACTGTATTTATAGCAAATTAGGCTAGACAACCAATGCAAATTAAAAAAAAGCTTTGATTTTATGAATTATATACCTTGTTGAAAGTCTTTGCGTTTGGATACAGTGTTTCAGATTTTAAGCCTTTTATTTTAAAAATGTAACGTACGTTTAAAACATAATTTTCCGCAAATTGGTTCCAATTCATTTATATAGGTTAAAATTATAAAGCCAGATATTTAAATTTCAAATATAGAAAATATTCGATTAAAATTATTCATGTTTTTATCAAACCTTTTGTGTTATCTTAAATTTGATTGGCTTGAAATGTGGCCCGTGCTATCTAAAAATTGCGAAGCTTTGTGAACGGTAGCAACGAGACGCCAGTTTATGTTCATTGAATGGTGCTTGCCGTTTGCATTGATTGCTATTTAGTACTATTTACAAATAGTGGAAAATAAAACTCAACCGAACTCATATATGTTTTCTGTTATGGGATTTCGGTCACTGATACAATAAGGAATGATGTGATATAAATAATTTGTTGTGCTATGGGGTCTGGCATTGTTGAGTTTTTTAAAAAGAACAGTAAATTTGAAAGCTTTCTAAAGCGGACTTTTTCAGAAGAGGCCTTCGAGCGAGTACGTGCCTACGAGTCATGTGTTGTTGTTTCTGAAAAGGAAAACAAAGCATTCAAATTTATTGTACTAAGTGATGAAAGAATATATCTAACAGAAAATCCTCCAAAGACTGTCGAGGAAGCAGTTCACCTTCGTGATGTTGTTTCAGTTGAATTGGTAAGTGTATAGTATATAAAATTTAATATAATAAATATTAATGATTAATTAATATAAAATTAGTAAATTAGGCCTCTAAACCTAGCTGTGTTATGTATGCTTCTCTGCAACCTATGGCTATGGGAAATGCAGTATGCCTGTAGTACTGCACTGTAGACTGTAGTGAATTATAGACTAAAGTCTAAAGTGTTTACAGACCTGGCCCTGGTCATTAACAATTTCAATTTACTTTTTACATTTGATATTTTTGTATATTAGTATATTTATAACATTAATTAAGGCATTTAAGGGTTGACATACCTTTTTGCTTTTATAAAACTATTTATAATAAGTTAAAGGATAATAATTTATATTGAAGTAGACGTTCATTCTTTGCTGATTAAATTAGGCTATGTTTATGTAAGGAGAATGGAGAAAGGTAAGGCCATATTCCAAAAGACCTGCTGTATGAAGAGTTGGCAGAGGGGGGTAAGACTTATTGGACAGCTACAGCTTTGCTTTAAGGATGTTTTCAAAAGGAATGTGAGGAAAACTTGCATAGAAATCAGTGAACAGGACATTATTGCTGATCAAAGTTACAATTGGCGAACTTCAGTGTATGAAGTAGTCAAACACATCAAACAGGCAGGGAGATGCGCTAAAACGGAGCCTGTGCAACAAAATAAAGCATTACAGAAGGCTAAAGTTAACCAGAAGTTAAGGTTCTCTTGTGAGAAGTGCATGCCGAGACTGCCTTTCCATTTAAGACCCCCCTCTAAGCCATTTGACGAAGTGTCAATTAGCTACTCCATCATCTCGCGAAGAGGGAGGGATGCCACTATATATAGTAGTGGTTCAAGTAATGTGAAAGAAATGTTCAGGGCAAGTTAGCCTGTGTTTAAGCTTAATTAATTAATTGATATAATACAAAAAACATTCTGGTCAATTTATTCAGTGAATGCTTTTCTCTTTTAATGTAACACAAAATAAAGGAAAATTAGAAGAAAAGAGAACTTAGTTCAAGTTACATGAAAGCAAATAATAGGACTTAAATATGAACCAAAATCATCGGAATTATACACAGTATAAGCATTTCCTAACAAGGTTAATTTCAAATGTCAATATAAAAAAATTAATCTCCGCAAGCTGGCTCTTTTCGCAATGAGACCTGATGCAGTGTATCAAATTGATATCACTAATGACTGACTGGTTTAATTTATTTATTTTATTGGAATATTATCAAATAATTTATCTTTTAATTAAAGATAATCAATAAGCAATATAAAATTTAAACCGTTGAAAAAACAACACATTTATATCAATTTATAATCATTATTAATATTTTATTTGATATTTAATAATGGGTACATACAATTTTAAAACAAATGAAATAAAGAAGTAACCTGAAATATATATGGATCAGTATAAATATCTTGTTTGGACAAAATGGATCAATTTGATATTTATTACTATTTAATTATAAACAGAAATTAGTTAAAAATAAGATAATATATCAATATTAATACAAATGTAAGAAAAGTAACTTACCAGGGTCAGAAAATAATAAAACTGTCAAACTTGAAATAAGGAGCGGCGATCAATTTGAACAAAACGTAACAAATCTTCACCCTTAAAACGTTTTCTGCACACTAAATGGTCTTAGCCTATAAAGGAAAAGGAAAACAGTAAGCTACCGATAAGCAGAGCTCGCTGTCATTTCTCATTAATGTGCACAAAAAAATCGGTTGGCTTTTATCAATCTGATGAGATGCGCAAAAGGAAGATTAAATGGCTGGAAATTGAATATCATATACTAAATATAATATTTTTAAATGATAATGATATCATTTGGCCTCATGGTACCTCAACTTTGAATGAATATATTATCATTCTGCACTCTTGTCTGTGTATTACTGTATGACAGTGCTGTGACAGATTTACCAGACGAGTCTTTATGTGTATCAATAAAATAAAATGAGACTTGCACCTAATGTTGTGCTGAAAAATTACAAAGATGCTCAATTAATATCAATCTTTAGCTAAATTTCAATTATGATACATCACATTGAAGCCCTCATTGATGATAAAGTTGCCTTTGGTATGGTAGCTGGCTTACTCTCAAGTACACAAAGATTAGTTTGAACAAGGCGATGAATGAAAGCACACCCATCGCGTCGGTCTTGTAACCCCTATGGCGACTGGAGGCCTTCAAGGGGCCCAAACTTCTTATGTGAAAAAAAAAATTAAAAATTTATAAACTTTGAATCCAGGGGACATAAAACCAAATAAGAGTTGGGGTGGGGGGGGGGCACTCCAAAAGTCACACGATATCTCTGACTTAAGATCTTGATCACATCTAAAGACAATGAAAGGAGAGGATGAGAATACTTGATTTGTGTCTGTATCGGTTAGAACAGAAGCACAGAATGATTTATAAAAAATATATTTTGAGCAGTCAGAATGTGAGGATGCTACGTAAGAATATTTTGGTTCAACTGTCATTTTCACTTCAACGGTTCATGAACACATAATTCAAATGATTGAGCTGTTTTGAATTCCTGTATCTTGTACAGATGGTAAAAAATAAATTATTTAACTTTCTTTATTTCTATTTGAAAAATTTATAACAAAATTTTGACATCTCCATTTTTATAAAGGGTCTCAATGACCCAGTTTTGCCAGTGACATTTCAACCTGTTTCCTGTGATATTTCAACCAGTTTTCCACAGCTCTTAGAGTGATTTGTGTGACATGTTGTAAAATAGTGTGTTTTGGCCCTGTGTCCTTCTGATGATGCTGGTGTTTGAAACACCTGGTTTATTTCCTACTTTGGAACTCTCTTGTGTTTTTAGACCTTTTTACATTTTTATTTTAATGTTGAAAGCAAATTAATTATAAATTGAAGCATGTCAATCTTGCCCGTTATATTTGAATCACATTTGTGGACATTAACAATCACTGAGACATAATGTCCCTAGTGATCCATAATGCATTAATAAAATGCATACAATAACATAAAAGGAGATGCAATGGTCTGTTTAAAGTAGTTAAAACAATAAAAAGAAAGTGACAAACTTTTTTCCCCAACTGCCTGATTAAAATATTTCCATATTATAATATATCAATCTCTCAATGCAAAATTTTCTTGGTATCAATCTCTCTATCTCATTTCAGTTGTAAACATTGTGCAATGTTCACTATGGTTCAGTGATGTAACCATTAAAAATGTGATTTGTTTGTTTAATTAAATCGCTTACTTTTTATTTTTATGTGTTCTTGAGATCGGGTTATCCCCTCAAGGCCACGCTTGTGAAAAAGTAGAAGAAGAACTCCACACTACTTTCAGTGGTCTTACATCCCTCACCTCTACTCTAAGTGGACTTACAACCTCAACCTACTTCCTACTCTCGGTGGTCTTACAACCTCCACCTACTTCTTGCTCTCAGGGGTCTTACAACCTCCACCTACTTCCTACTCTCAGGGGTCTTACAACCTCCACCTAGCCACTACACTCGGTGGTCTTACAACCTCCACCTACTTCCTACTCTCAGGGGTCTTACAAGCTCCACCTAGCCGCTACACTCGGTGGTCTTACAACCTCCACCTAGCCGCTACACTCGGTGGCCTTACAACCTCCACCTAGCCGCTACACTCGGTGGTCTTACAAACTCCACCTAGCCGCTACACTCGGTAGCCTTACAACCTCCACCTAGCCGCTACACTCGGTGGTCTTACAACCTCCACCTAGCCCCTACACTCGGTGGTCTTACAACCTCCACCTAGCCGCAACACTCGGTGGTCTTACAAACTCCACCTAGCCGCTACACTCGGTGGTCTTACAAACTCCACCTAGCCCCTACACTCGGTGGTCTTACAAACTCCAATTGACCATACACTCGGTGGTCTGACAACCTCCACCTAGCCGCTACACTCGGTGGTCTTACAACCTCCAACTCGCCGCTACACTCGCTGGTCTTACAACCTCCACCTAGCCCCTACACTCGCTGGTCTTACAACCTCCACCTAGCCGCTACACTCGGTGGTCTTACAACCTCCACCTAGCCCCTACAACATCTGACAGTATCACAACCCAATCAACATCTGACAGTATCACAACCCAATCAACATCTGACAGTATCACAACCCAATCAACATCTGACAGTATCACAACCCAATCAACATCTGACAGTATCACAACCCAATCAACATCTGACAGTATCACAACCCAATCAATATCTGACAGTATCACAACCCAATCAACATCTGACAGTATCACAACCCAATCAACATCTGACAGTATCACAACCCAATCAACATCTGACAGTATCACAACCCACTCAACACCTGACAGTATCACAACCTAATCAATACCTGACAGTATCACAACCCAATCAATATCTGACAGTATCACAACCCAATCAACATCTGACAGTATCACAACCCAATCAACATCTGACAGTATCACAACCCAATCAATAAACCATGCAGTGTTTCCACGAGGCTGAGCAATGAACATTACCTTAACCGTAATGTAGGTCAAGTTCTTGGAAGTGTTCGGAATGCGTAAATAGTTATTTCTTGGAATATTTTTTAAGAGGAAGTAGATTGGTTAGCATTTTGTTTGGAGAGTTGGATTTACAAAAGAGACTATCAATTTTAAGTGGCTTATCTCGTGGTATCTAAATATCAGTTTGTGGCACGCAACGTCTCCGTCTTCTGTTCATTGTCGATAAATTACTGAAACAAATATCAGTTTTGAGATTTCTTATTTTCATTTGATTTTTAGTAGAATTATAGAATATTGTTGTTTGCGTAGATTCCTTCTTCTTTCATAGTTCTATACCATTACGTTCTGTGTATCATACCGATCCGACCCCGAACCTTGCTGAGTACCGAACTTCAAGGTCACTGAATACGAACGAACCCGAACTTCAAGGTCACTGAGTGCGAACGAACCCGAACTTCAAGGTCACTGAGTCCGAACTTCAAGGTCACCGAGTACGAACTAACTCGAATTTCAAGGTTACTGAGCACGCACTAACCCGAACTTCAAGGTCAGTGAGTACGAACTTGGCTGAACGAACCTAATCGCAAACTTATTAGAACCGATAATCTTTTGGTTGTACGAATGGTGCACGCGACTGCTGTAGCCAAGAATTGCTGAGCTTTCCATTGAAACAACTCAATTCCTTCACGACATTTTTTTGTGTAAACCAAAGTTATCACATTTTACCATCCCCTACCCACCTCTCCTCCGCCAACCCCCCCCCCCTTCCCCCTTTTTCGCAACAACCTGTACAATGTAGCCGACTCTTTTTCTTTTCATCATGTTTCAGTGATTTGTGTTGTTCAAAATCAAACAAAAAAATTAGAATGGCGAATAAACCCAGCACACAGTGTGTAAGGAGTAGACGACTTAGCGATTATTCTAGGTTGAGCCAAGATCGATAAGCTATGTCGTATCCACCTTTGCAATAAGCCTAAAACATTTATATTAAACCCAATACTAAATTATTTTTAGCTATTTTTTTTTTCCATTTAATTTGTAGCGACCCACGTCTATATTTATAGGTCTATAAATCCCGGTGTAGCCTACCATGAGAGCTAAAAAGTATTTTCCTCTGTTTGGCATTTCTATATTTTTTTAAACACTTATATTTTTTAAGTGTAATATACACCTTATTTTATTTTAAAGACAATAATCCTCAAATTGCGATAACTACCAAACGGGAAGAGCTTCGGGGCTTACCGAGTCCGAACTTAAGCTGTTACTGAACCAAACTTGACATATTAACTGTTGCAGCACCTTGACATAGTAGCTGTGACATAACCTTGACATATTAACTGTGACATAACCTTGACATAATTAACTGTGACATGTGACACCATCTTGACATATTAGCTGTTGCAGCACCTTGACATATTATCTAAAAGAGGGTTCGATCCCCATCTCTGTTAAGGAGCGTAGATAAAACTAGCCGGTAAAAGTTTAGGTCAACTTGATGAGTTGCTGGACGAACTCCTTGTAAGCTCTTTTTTGTTGTTGTTGAACAGTCTCAGCTATGAGTTAAGATTTTGTTCATTGAGTGGTTTAAGCAAACCATAACTACACACAATCTGCTGCTCACCTTACACGCAATCCACGTGCTCATTACACACAATCCATGTTCTCAGTACACACAATCCAAGTTCTCAGATTTTTTTTGTTATAACTGCTCTTAGAGCGTAACATCGCATATTTACACCTAAGTCTCGCGTCGAAAAAGAGAGAGGGAGGGGGGGGGAGGTTAAATGATGTAGTTTATTTATTGCCGCATTAGTTGTTGACAATAACCTCGAATTGTCTAATACTGGCAGACATTTTTTTTTTAAAATTTGTAATTTTCAACTGAATTAAATTGTAAAACTTCGCCCAATAAAGTTAAATCCCATCAGAGACCAAACCATTGACAACTGTATCTAGGCATGGCACCCACATCACTGACCAAACCATTGACAACTGTATCTAGGCATGGCACCCACATCACTGACCAAACCATTGACAGTTGTATCTAGGCATGGCACCCACATCACTGACCAAACCATTGACAGTTGTATCTAGGCATGGCACCCACATCACTGACCAAACCATTGACAGTTGTATCTAGGCATGGCACCCACATCACTGACCAAACCATTGACAGTTGTATCTAGGCATGGCACCCACATCACTGACCAAACCATTGACAGTTGTATCTAGGCATGGCACCCACATCACTGACCAAACCATTGACAGTTGTATCTAAACCCCATATCCCCATCAGCCACCAGTTGACAGTTGTATCTAAACCCCACATCCCCATCAGCCACCAGTTGACAGTTGTATCAAGAGGTTCAATGTTAGACTAGGGTTAATAATTTATTTTAAAAATCTTCCACTTCAAGTATTTATAGCCATGCACTGCTGGTGTACTTTTAGCGACCTACAGAATCAACCCAGAAATCAATAATCAATAAGATAAAATGAAACTGAATGAAGGAAACCTGTTTTGTGTAAAATGAAAGGACGTCAATCGTGTGGTGTCAAACAGATGGGATCGTATTGTGACATGAGAAACTACGAAAGTACTTTAATATATTAAATTTTAACTTTACACTTTGAAGTATAGACTATGACATCACCTTGATGTATTAACTGTGACAACACCTTGACATATTAACTGTGATAGTACCTTGACTTATTAAATGTGACATCACCTTGATATATTATCTGTGACATCACCTTGAAATATTAGCTATGACATCATCTTTACATATTAACTGTGACAATACCTTAACATATTAACTGTGATAGTACCATGACATATTAACTGTGACATCACATTGACATATTAACTGTGACAATACCTTAACATATTAACTGTGATAGTACCATGACATATTAACTGTGACATCACCTTGACATATTAATTGTGACATCACATTGACATAAAATGTGACATCACCTTGTCATATTAACTGTGATAGTACCTTGACATATTAACTGTAACATCACCTTGACATATAAACTGTGACATCATCTTGACATATTAACTGTGACATCACCTTGACATATAAACTGTGACATCACCTTGACATATTAACTGTGACATCACCTTGACATAAAAACTGTGGCATCATCTTGACATATTAACTGTGACATCACCTTGACATATTAACTGTGGCATCATCTTGACATATAAACTGTGACATCACCTTGACATATTAACTGTGACATCACCTTGACATATTAACTGTGACATCACCTTGACATATTAACTGTGACATCACCTTGACATATTAACTGTGACATCACCTTGACATATTAACTGTGACATCACCTTGACATATAAACTGTGACATCACCTTGACATATTAACTGTGACATCACCTTGACATATTAACTGTGACATCACCTTGACATATTAACTGTGACATCACCTTGACATATTAACTGTGGCATCATCTTGACATATTAACTGTGATCGCACTATGACATTTAATTTTAACATAAGAGGCTAAGAAAGTTGAAGCATCAAAATCACAAATATACGGATATTGAAATAACTCATGTTAGTTTGAGGATATTGAAATAACTCGATGTTAGTTTGATTTCTCGTTACATGTGCACAGCATGGGGGGGGGGGGGTTGGAACTACTAAGATGTTATTATTTCGATTAAATTTATCTTCCCATCAATCACGTGATAGACCAAGCCATAAGTGACTTTACATTCTCATCATATACCTATTTTCTCTGTCATATGTTTACACGTTCCACTCTGTCATATGTTTACATGTTCCACTCTGTCATATGTCATATGATCCCTCGGTTGTATCTGGTAGCCACAATAATGGATGTTTTATTAATGCACGTCTGTTGAAGTAAGCACAATAATTGATGTTTTATCAATGCACGTCTGTTGAAGTAAGCACAATGCCGTGCAGTGTTCTCTAAGTGGCATTCTACAACCACAATGAATGTCGTCAATAATCAATGTCGTCTCTAATGAAGTGGACTAATTGCTTTGCCGTTGTCACGGTCTGTGAGAAAACCTCTAGCCTCTATGTGACAATATATGTGTGTATTTGTATCCGGGCTTAGGGTTAACTGTGATTGAACAACACAACAGTAACTGCATGTCAGGTGTTAAAAGGCTTGGTTTAAAGTAGTTCCGATGGGTATATAAAGCAATGGGATGTTCAAGTAATGGCAATACCAATTTTTTTGTTTTTTAAAGAGCTCAACCAATTCCATTCCGACTATTGATACAAATAATTTCACGCTTAACTAATAGTTGGGGGTGGGGGGTAGCCAGCATAAGTTAACCGCACCGGGTGACCCAAACCCTAGATACGCCACTGCTGGTAGTTCAATGAGTTCTGACTGTATACTGTATATCAAATGTTAAAACATAAAGTATAAAGCATTTAGTTTGATATAAAATCTTACAAATAGTGTTATCTGAAATGTTGCTTTATCGACATTGGCTTTAGTGTTTAGTGGTCTAGACTCTAAAGGCGAGTGATCTAAGAAAAATTGAGCCGGTATAGTATAATAATATAGTTATAGAAATACAACACTAGCTTTAAAACATGTTGAGACAATAGTAATAGGGATAACACAAAACTATTTTTAATTTCCCGTTTAGCTAAAGCAAAGTTATTTGTTTCCTCCGTTACGAGTATTAAAAAAAAGGTAATATTTATTTCATGGTCTCAGCAATCAACCAGCTTAAAGAACAATCAACCAGCTTAAAGAAAGAAATCTTACTGCCACAGCACAATGCAGCCATCGATTGGTTGACATCACGGGTCACTATGTCAACTATCAACAAAACTGTAATAAGCCGCAGGCTATGGATTGTTGTTCCAACAGTCTTACCCTTCACACACAGGAGAGCTCATCAACATAAAATACACTGATAACAAACAAAGAAACTTTTTTGTCTGCTACTGGGCATTTATTATTTATTGCCCGTTTCATAAGAAATCGAATGTGCTGCTTTTCTAGCATTGTGCAGTAGTTAGATTTTATGTAGCACATCAGGGTTTGAGTGAGTTATGCATCTTCTTATGTGAAAATTAAATTTCATGCAAATAAATTACAAAACTAAACTGAGTGATACTTGTCTGAGTGACAAATTATGTCTTATAAGTTATGTTATATAAATTATGTTATTTTATTATGGTCGGTCTTTTATGTTTTGTCACATTCTCTGATTAGATTTTCTTCTACATTGGGCTACAGAGCTTTCATCTTTATTTCTCATTTTTCTGTTCATTTGGGATTTCATCTAGTCTATAATATTAATATTATTAATATATTATTTAATTTGACTGAATATAGAAATCAAAATACTAAAATAAAGTGGCTGGATTACATTTTTGTAAAGAACCTTAATGTTAAAAGGAAAGACAGGACAATAAAAGGAAGTGTTTCCTCTTAGAGCCTTCTTCAACAGACATGACAAAAGGAGAAACAATAATAAATATAAAACAGTTTTAACATTGTTGAATCCACATTTCAGGCTCTGCCACTCACTGGTACCATTCCCATCCTATTACATTTGTCATTTATTTAAAGGTTTTATGATCTTTTACAGGTCATTTATAAATTTCTTGTCCTTAGGTGAATGAATTCCCAGATTTTCTGAGAGGGAAAGAACGCTTCAACACACAGCACATAGCTGTGACCTACATGACTTCTGAACCAAGGCGACGATCTCTTAGACGCTCCAAAAAATCTCCAAGAGGATCAGTGACGGATCTCAGTTTAGACAGGTGGGTATTACTTATGTCTGTCAACAAGGAGGCTTTGATGTAACATGTTTGTTAGACAGGTCAGTATTACTTATGTCTGTTAACAAGGAGACTATGACGTGAGCTGTTTCTTAGATCAGTATTACTTATGTCTGGCAGCAAGGAGAATTTGATACAACATGTTTGTTCGGTCATTATTTATTAGTTTTAAGTTATTAGACTAATGTTCAATCAGTTGTATTAACCTTTTATTAGTTGGTACTTATCTGATAGTCAATGTTAGAGATAATGTCCATGTAATTTGTTAATTATTTATGTATGGACATAACACATTTTGATTTTAAATAACTTTTCCTCTGTTATGCATGGAATAAAACATGTGATAACATTAGGGTCAGTTTTGAAACAACAAAATGGAGTTATATTTTAATTTTTTTTAAAATCTTTGAAATGTTTCCTGCGTGCTGTCATACTTCCTCTCGTGCTGTCATACCTCCTCTCGTGCTGTCATACCTCCTCTCATTGAATTCACTTGGATTTTCTTTAATCAAAAGTCTTCTTATAAAATTAAAGAACGTTGTTCTTTTGAACCCTGGAGGTCAGAATGTGAGAATTTTTCATGTTTCACCATTGAATCTGCAGATCAAATGCATCTACACCTCTGGGATATGCCAACTCTATTGAGGGCAGCTACCCAGACCTGGGCTACATCACACAGAGTGCAGGCAGCTTGCCCCTCAGTAGACCGACCAGCAGGGGCAGTGTCAAGACTGGGGCTCAGCCCAAAAAGAAGAAGAAACCTCAGGGACTCAATGACAGTTTTGATCACGAGAGTAACCTCAGGTCACTCAAGGTATATTTTTTAAAGACTTTTTATTATTGTTATAGTCTAAACTTTCCTTTCAGGCTATGTCTGTGATGTATATTTTTGACATAATGGGATAACTGTAACTTAAGATAATTAACAAAATTAGTTAAAATGTTGACTGAGTTTCTTTTGATTTTTTGTTTTGTGTTCTTTAATGTGGTTAACTAAAGATTTTGGAATAAGGTTAAAACCTGAGTACCGGTATGATATTTTAAAATGCAGACAATATTGCCTTATCATATTGAATTATAAAAGCACATGATACATTTCCTTGACATCCACAGGAAGAAAGAGAAGAGGACATAATGGAAACTATAGAAGAAAATCACATGCCTTCACCTAGGTCAAGAGCTCCATCCATCTACAAACATTCACCCACAAACAATCTTAAACAAACTCAGACCAACAGGGCAGGTTTGACAGCTAAAAACGGCAGTGTTAAAAATAGAAATATATCAGAAAGTGACATTTTATCATTGGATAGCACTTCTTGTGATCAGCCTCAACAGTCAAAGTTAGGAGGCCCTAGTGCAAGTAAGCTGAGACTTTCAGAAGCTGAGGTTCAAAAACTGCTGGGGCAAAGGGACACAACTGTGATTGACAAGGAGGAGAGTCCAAGTTGTTGTTTTTTTGGCAGAGGTAACAAAGGCAATAAAAATCAGGTACATGTTTGTACATTTAAACAACACTTACTAAGTAAAGAATCTTTAATTTAGATTTAGCCAATTTTCGAAGAGAGAAAATTTAAATAAACTTATGATGTGTAGTGAATTGTTACATTTCATGAAATACTTTTAAAAATGTACATTCAATTTATTTAAATACAAATAAATAAATTAAAAATAATATTAAATATTGAGCTCTTAACTGATAAGCTACCAGATTGAAAAACCAGATGTGGCCAAATTAAATCTAGGTCACATTTTCTCATTTTAGGTGTATGTACAATGTCAAATGCAGTTTTCTCAATTATAAACATATTCTAATGATTAATAAACCATTTTGTAGGTAATTGATGTGTCTATTCGATAAACTTAAAACATTTGTAGGTTGTTTTATTGGGAAATTATTAATTGTTAAATTAGTATTTACAACAGAAAAACAATAAATATATGAATGTGCCAACTTATGTATAAATGTTATTTTTCAAAATCATTTAAAGCATTTTATTTGATGGTTTCCAAATAGTATATCCAATAATAAAAAAAATGCACCAAAGAACACAGATCTTGAATAATATTTACACTTCCAATCACTTATAAGCCTTTAGAAACCCTGACACTTGTTGCCACGGTAAACAAGTAGTGAAACCTTGTAACTAGCTTGGAAATTAAATCAAAATAAATTAAAAGCTCGTTTTTTTATAACATTCTGCCAATAGTATGTGGTTTGAATATAAACATTCTGTCGGTAAATTAAAATCTTGAAGCAAAACGGGAATGGAATAATATAAATATTTGACTTGGTTTACTGCGATACAAAACTTGGCGCTACCAGCGGCTCTTGGCCATAACGAAAGAAATGCCCAGCCGCTCCCACCGGCTCATGGTAGTTAACCAGTTAAAAAGAATCACTAGGGTTTATCACTAGTCTGCTCACAACGTTATAATTTTTGTCAGCACTCTAACTTACACATTTCATGCAGTCAGTCTTGCTAAGGTAGAAATGAAAATATCTCCTCGTGTCAACGAATGCAAATCCATCTAATGACAGGTCTCTCCAGCAACCAACAGCATTCCTACCAATGGCCGGTCAGTACAACCAGAGCTCTCAGGGAAACCGGGCAGTCAACAAAACTTTAATTCCAATAACTTATATGGCGGCAGTCAACTCTCGGGTCAAATAGGTCCAGGTTTCCTCCATCCAGACCGCTCATCGTCCTTATTTGGGTCAAGATCTGGGACTCCACTGCTAGAGGCAGAACGAAATCTGTAAGTTGTGAAGAAGATCCTTGACACCAATTTGACTAATTAAATACTAAATGAAGAAAAAATCTGTAATGTCAGAAGGAGACAGTGTTGAAGGTTTGCTGTCTGCAGGAGTGCTTCATGACACAAATAGTTTTTCACCTTTGCATCATTTTGTTAATTGTTATTATAGGTTTCTTTATTCAATTATTTTATCAAAATTATGAAGTATACATTTTAAAAAAAAAGTATATTGCCCGTAAATTAAAAGATATAGAGTCCTTAAATTTTCTTTGTTGCTTGAAAAGATTACTAGAAACCACATAGAAAAATATTTGCCATATTTTTGGATTTGTTCCCACACAGTAAAAAAAAACAATTATGGTAATTAATTATGCTTATATTACTTCAATATGACTTCACCAAATGTAACAATTTTAAAGTTTTAGGTTGTAAGTCTTCCAAACGTATTATGGGTTTTTATTATTCCATTAAAATGTACAGCATACTTTTTGTTTATTTCCATAGAAATAATCTAAATATGTCATCAAGTGATCTAGGCAGCTCTGTGTCATTCCACGGTCTCAACTCTCTCTCAGTCGATGGCCTTCATGAACGACGGAAATGTGTCCTTAACATTTACATTCTAAACCTAACATCTCACCTTATATTGCTGATCAGAAGTGCCTGGAATAATTATATCATTGTGAGTTTTTTGTAATTCTTATTGAAACATTCTGTAAATAACTATTTCTTCAGTTAAATTGTAAATAAAATAATTTAGTAACAATAATCAAGCATTTCTTTTTAATTTTTTTGTTATTTGTAACTTACAAATCAAACTATTTGGAATTGTAAGGTACAAAGTACAAGTTTTTTCAAAATCTAGTTTATATTTGTAAAATTATTCTTTGGAATCTTTCCTATGTCACTAACAAACATGATGGCAATATGTTACTTTACAGCTAAATGATAACCTTTATTGTTACAGAAATCCACTCTAGCCTTAGAGCCTGAAACTTTTGAGTTTTCCACAGACCCTAAAGTTTTATGCGCTTTTAAAAAGTAAGTCAAATTTAGGGATTTGTAGCATTTCCAAGACAATTTGCTCAGTTTAGAGATATTTTTTTTCCAAACATGGAAATGTCCATGATTTAGAAAGGAAAGGGAAAAACTTATCTTGTAAAACAATTTAAAATACACCAAGTTGGTGCCCCTTTCAAAAACTGGTTAACATTTAACTTAGAGCTGATATCATGCCTCCCTTTCTATGTGTTTTTCAATTCATAAAATTATTTGCAATTATTAGAATTATTACAGGACATTCATGTTCTATTTATATATTACATTAGTTGAAACAAATTCAAATTATAAATAAAATAAATTTGCCTATGACTGACATATTTTAAAATATCCTCTTTAATAAAGCACACATTCTTTAATTTGGAAAATGGTGTCAGTCTCTAGATGGGGTAACAAATGTTCTGTTTTAAAAAAATAGAATTGACAAATGGATTTCATTGGAAATAAAATCATACTCATGAAGAGAGCCTGAATTAAATTAATTGCATTATTTCAATAGAAGGTCCATTCTGAACTCTATTGGTAATGTAAGCACCAACTCACAGTATTTAATGTAATGAATATAATTATTAACGAAGCTGATATTTCTGTAGATGTTTCAAATTTATTTCTGTATGATAAATATTTAATTAAAAAAACGAATACCTTTTTCCTGGTTGTGTAATTTCAATATGCTTTAGTTGTATAACTTTGTCAAAGGTTTATCTTTTTAATCTTTTGCTGTACTACTTTTTTATTTATTAACATCATAATCATAAGTAATGATAAAATAGATGAAATATTTCCAGAGATCAAGTAGAGAGAGACTACATTCACCTCAAGAGGGATCTGTTCAAAACTGATCTCTCCATAGAAGAAAAGTTTACTCTGATTGACCAGCTTTACAACACCACCAAGTGCAACTTTGTGCTCAAAAAGTTGTTTTGGAAGGTAAGTTGCGTGTGTCACATCAGATGTGCACACTGGAAGCCTCATATTGTTGTATTGGATAGAACAGAAGGATACATCTCAAACTGTACAAATGAGTGCACTAGGAACTACAGTTTATTTTCATTTGATATAGCTGCCCAATTCATTTCTTTGGTTTGGCCATCATCAAATGTAGCACTGTACAAGCCATCTAAGATATGTACACTTTCAAAACTGTTTGTAAAATTAAGTATTTCAAATTTTTTTTTTACTAGTTTTTCCAGCAAAAAAATTTTTTTTTTTTAGTATGTCACAATTTAGCATATTATCATTTGAACGACTTATTTCAGCATTCTCTTTTTTATTTGCTGTTGATAGGATCATAATTTGATTGATTAAAATGCTTCGAGGACTGGTGTGAATGTTTGTGTTGCTTGCATTTGAAATCTCAGACAGTCCACATAAGAGTACTGTGTGAGGCTGTTGTACCTTGCTGCCCATATGTTAAAGTTAAAGTGTACTGACATGTGTGAGGCTGTTGTACCTAGATTTCCAGTATACAATATGTTAAATATTAATTAAAAACGAATGAAATATGTTTCTGTGCACAATGGATGTCATTATTCAAATTTAGGACGTATAGTTTTACATTCAGAACATCATTTGAAATAATTATATGGTGTCATGTAACATGTTGTAACGCTTGAAAATTAACAATATTAACCTCAATGAATAAATGTATAATTAATCAATTGAGAACATTTTTTTTTTTTGTGGGTTCTCATTTCAGCAACCTGACATGTTCACATTTCTCATCAAACAACTCCAGAACTATGTGCCCCATTCTAAGGCTTCTCTCACAACAAGTGAAGGGAAGGCCAAAAGAGCTGATGAAGTAGAGTGAGTTTAGTTGTCTCTAGTAGGGGAATAGATATAGACAGCCAGAGTAATTTTAGTTGTCTCTAGTAGGGTAATAGATATAGACAGCCAGAGTAATTTTAGTTGTCTCTAGTAGAGTAATAGATATAGACAGTAAGATAGCCAGAGTAATTTTAGTTGTTTCTAGTAGGGTAATAGATATAGACAGCCAGAGTAATTTTAGTTGTCTCTAGAAAAGGGGGGGATAGATATAGACAGTGGTCAAATGTGGGAAATGGCAAGATTTCGTCAGTGGTTAGACATGAACGTCAGTTAGAACAATAGCTAGTTATGGACACGGCTTAATATTGGCTGGGTTAGATATGGGCAGCTGTTACATTTGGGATGTGATTGTTAGCAATGATTAATTTCGGTGTTTTTATAAAGCACTGCTTGCTGACAAGAAGTTTTATTACATCATTAAATATTATGCGTGTGCCATTCAAGATTTTCTTGTTAACTTGTTTTTCCTGAACAAATTGTTCAGACTATCCATCCTCATCTTGTCAACTATAAACTTAATGCTGAGAGAATCTGAAATATTGTCCTCAAGGCTCCACACACTTAAACTTGAGGGGTAAGTGAGTCATTGCTTTTCTATAGAATATAGAAAAGGGATAAAGCTTTCATCTTGATAGATAAAATTATCTCCGCCAATAAATAGCTTGCTGTCCAAAAAAAATTATTTTTTTAAAATCTATTCAAGTGCCATAAATTAAATAAAAATTCGGTAATAAGGGGAGAGACTGCAATCGGGTTAGCAAAAAAATGTAATAAAACATTTTCTGAGTAATTGAGATCTATGATTACGAATGCATCTTCTTGTAAACTAAAGATTTTTGTATTTTCTGCTCACTAGCTTACATTGAGATTAAATTGTTTATACTTGACACAGTGGTAGGCCTATTAAGCTTCAAGAGAGGGTATTCAACTGAGTATTGTTTGTAAAATGTAATAATTATTGTTAGAAGGAAGAAAAAAATTATTTCAAAGATGGTCACATCTGTACTCATCTATGTTACAGAGGAAAGTTGGTGAGAGAACTGATCAAGATGGTGGTGAGTCAGCCTGACTTTCCCTATCAACCTTTGTCCTTGACTAAACACTGGACTACTCCAGTCATTGGGGCCAAAGATCTAAGGCCAGTTAAAAATGTGGATGAAGAGGTCAGAATCTTAGAAAAATTTATTATAGTTTTAATCATCAGTAAAGCTCCCGCAATTATTACCCCTAATTTTCTCTGGTACAGCAACTGCCACTATTACCCCTTAAAGCAACCTCTATTATCTCTGCCGCAGCAAACAGGCACTATTACCCCTAATGCAACATCTGTCTCTAAAGCGTGAGCCTGTTTTTGTGGAGTTAAAAATTAATGCTTCAAAATAGTCAGCGATAATTTTCTCTTTTATTTCTCAGTTGTATCGACTTAAGACAGAGTACACAAAAACTGCATTTTCTACTTTGTTTGAACTCCTCATGGTAGCTAAAATGGTCAGTACATTTATTTTACTTTCATTTTATAACAGTGAATAACAGCTGGTACTTTTTGTGAATGTAAAATTTATAAAGAGTAAAAATAAACAAAGCCTTTATCTGTAGACACCTTCTCCAAAACTATTTATGATGAGAATAAAAAGGAAAGATTTTTTTTCCTCTGTTTCAATGAAATACATTTTAACTTATACACCTTGATTCACATTTTCTCTTAAAATTATTAAGCACAAATTTAAAATGTAATTACTGAGTTCCACTTTTTCTTCAACTTAAAAGTTATAAAACAGATATTTTTTATGAAGAGTCCTTCCCACCACCTTTAACCTCAAAAACTTAAATTTCTATTGGATTCTAACTCCAGGCTCCTGTTGATGAATTTGAACTGCTGTCAGTTACTGGGATCATAACAACATGCAAAGAGCTGAAAGCCACAGTGAGTTTCATTGTTCGTCCATCAACTAATGGTATACATTATTATTGATATAAATTCATTGTTTGCTTTTATTCCATTTTTTTTCCTCTAAAAATACCCTTGCATTGTTTGTAAAAAGAAAAGTGTGTACGTTTAATCATTTCTAAAATGACAAACTTTGTTTATAAAATTTGTTTCTTGACTTAAATAAATATATAAAATAATAGGAATTCATGTCACTCTGTCAGTTAATGTTTTAAAAAAGATTTATGTTTGCACACTTTATTTTCTGAAAGTTCTTAACCTGTTCAAAATTGTTTCATAGCTGCATAACAAATTCACTAACACTGCCTCCTTAACTTTGGTAGGAAAATATATAATTTTTATGATTAACAGGAGCAAATGGTGGATAATCTGGTCAGTCAGATTATGGAACTGGTCAGTCTGTCTCGTTTTGAACTTTTGACCCCGGCCCAGTCTATGCTGGTGTTTCAGATGTTCACACTTCTGCTGACCCTCCTGGAGGAGAACAAGGCAGTCATCAGCCAAGTCAGAGACAACTACTACGAGGAGTTTAAGTAGGTCATTTTATCTTCATCATTTTAACATGGCTCTCAATTTTCTTTTATGAATTGGTATTTTAACATTTATTTACAAACTTATGCCGAAACTGAATGTATTTTCACAAACAGGTATTTTATCCAAGCTCCCGCAGTGTCCAAGAAACTGCCTGCCCAGTACCCCATCACAGCCACCACAGTGAACATCATTGACCAGGTTGTCTCAAAAGTCTTAGGAAATCAAGTCCAGCTCTCTTCCAAGGACATCTGATGCATTTCTTAAATCTATGAAAACATTAACTACTCGCTGGTTGCTAAATTATATTATATATCTTGACAGAACTCTTACGTTACTTCAATTACATAACATGACAGACCTTGTATGCTACTTCAATTATATAACATGACAGATCTTGTATGTTACTTCTATTATATATATCATGACAGAAATTTAATGTTACTTTATGACACAAATTATTTATTTTTTATAAAGGAGCCATGTGATCAAATTTTTTGAATCTGTACAAATATTTAAATTTTATAACATTTCTCTTGCACAAGTTTCACAAAGAGGTATTTATATTTAAAACACCTTAAGTGACACATGATCAGTGAATGCACTGCCCATTTTGCAGTTCTTGTTTTTCTACTGTATTTATGCCATTTTTTTTAGAAGCTTAATGGCGAAATCATGAGTAAAAATTGGTGCGGGAGGGAATATTCTTTAATGGCTTATCTTTTCATAGTCATTCATAAATGACTATCCTAATAATATATCGTCCATTATTATTTGACCAGGGTTGCCAACTGAATAAAAATCAAATTTACTGACGGTAAATATTCTAAATCTCCACACTTTTAGTGGACAAACAAACAATTTTATGGAGACATTTAAAAAATTAACTTGTTGAAACTATTAAACTAAAAAATGTTCAAATATCGACAGGACTTTCTGTGTCTCGTGGTGGTTATGTAAGTTTAAAGCAAGCAAGAAGAAATCACTAAAATTGAGATCTATTGCATACTTGGCTTCAAAAATGTTTGTAAAATGTCTATTTTTGAGGAACATCCTAGAGTTCTTACAGAAACTTACAAACAAGTCATTTTAAGTCATAAATTTACGGACTGCCCTTAAATTTACAACCCTGTTCGTCTTTTTTTGGATGTCCCCTCAGCCAACAGCTGCAACCTTGAATGTCATTTAAATGAATTTTGAATTTAGGATCCTATAGTTATTTTCAAATGCAGTAGAAAAATAAAATGAAGAAATATTATGAAGTTTGAATTAAATAAAAAGTACATTTTGTTTATCTATTAATTTTGGTGCCAAAATGTCCTATGTGAAAAACTTGCTCAATACAAATTTCACATACTTGTTTTCTATTTGCTTTTTAAAAAATGTTTTAAAATTTGTGTGGAAATAATGATCACAAAGAATTTTTTTCTATTTTTAAATGTGCCTGGTGAGTTATAAAATAATTTATTTACAAAATAGATTTGTATTTCAATCATCTAACTCTGCAGCAAATGACAAACAAAAAAGTATATTCTTTTCATTCCAAACTTCACACTGCAAAAGTTAAAGACTACATATTTTGCTTCATTTCATTGGGCCAAAATTACTATTTAGTTACACAAAAAGAATTGATTGTGCAGTCATCCTCAGAAAATAAGGGGGAACATTGTTACCCAAGGTTGACTGACCTTTGGCAGTATGACAGGTTTTTATTGAAGCCTTGGTCTTTTGTTCCCCATAGTTATTTTTCAGATTACTTACCAAGAGATGAGCATTTTAAATAAATCTCTAATAATGCATTTGATATGTGACCTAAGTCTTAATATCAAACTCCCTACACCACCACCACCATATCAAATGGCCTTTTTGGGCTGTCAAATACATTGCATGTTTTTTATCTGAAACTAGGTCTCTTCCACTCTTTAAAAATAATTTGAAAAATTGATGTCTAATTTAAGTATTTTCCTTCATGTCAAGAAAATATTAGTTCTTTGTTGGCCCAGATAATGAACTTGTTCTTTAAAAACATTTTTTTACACATGGTTATTGATTTCAATTCAAAATGAATATGTTTTATCATTAAAGCATACTTCTTACTATTTTTAGAAACTGATTTGTCCTTTTTACTTTGGCTGTAGGCTACATATCAGAAGAGGCAAATGCTATTCTCAAATTGACTGCGTGTGTAAGTATGCTTTTGAAATAGCAGAAACTCTAAAGCATATTGGCTTTGTTGTAATCAAGTTAAGCAGTTTTGTTAGTATATTTGAAGTAGTCCAGTTTTGATAGCATATTTGAAGTAGTCCAGTTTTGATAGAATATTTGAAGTAGTTCAGTTTTGATAGCATATTTGAAGTAGTCCAGTTTTGATAGCATATTTGAAGTAGTCCAGTTTTGATAGCATATTTGAAGTAGTCCAGTTTTGATAGCATATTTGAAGTAGTCCAGTTTTGATAGCATATTTGAAGAAGTCCAGTTTTGATAGCATATTTGAAGTAGTCCAGTTTTGATAGCATATTTGAAGTAGTCCAGTATTGATAGCATATTTGAAGTAGTCCAGTTTTGATAGCATATTTGAAGTAGTCCAGTTTTGATAGCATATTTGAAGTAGTCCAGTTTTGATAGAATATTTGAAGTAGTCCAGTTTTGATAGCATATTTGAAGTAGTCCAGTTTTGATAGCATGTTTGAGGTAGTCCAGTTTTGATAGCATGTTTGAAGTAGTCCAGTTTTGATAGCATGTTTGAAGTAGTCCAGTTTTGATAGCATATTTGAAGTAGTCCAGTTTTGAGAGCATATTTGAAGTAGTTCAGTTTTGATAGCATATTTGAAGTAGTCCAGTTTTGAGAGCATATTTGAAGTAGTCCAGTTTTGATAGCATATTTGAAGTAGTCCAGTTTTGATAGCATATTTGAAGTAGTCCAGTTTTGAGAGCATATTCGAAGTAGTCCAGTTTTGATGTTGTAAAAACATCCTGAAACGCATTGGAGAGTTAGAGGGAAGGAAGGCTCATTCCTGTTCAATGTATTTTTATCCTCCAAATTATAGAGGCAAACAAACCAAGGAGATGATCTTATACTGAAGTCACATCTAAGGTAAGAATGACTCAAGTTACTCAAGGGTATTGAGCAGGATACCTTGACCTAGATTAATGGCAGAAACTGAAAGGCATCTGTCCAGGTTAAAAAATGTTCAGGTTACACCTCTTCTGGATCTAGAAATGAAAATCCACCAATCCACACATTCCCTAAAATAAAATTCTCACCCATTGATAATACCACCTCTCCCTGATGTGAAAATGATCTCTCACTGGAAATTGAAATTTAAAAAAAAACTATTTTAAAGAACCTCTCATCCGTGATAAAATCCCCTCACCCCAATGGTGATAAAATGAAATTCCTGTGATAACATTAATTTTATATGATAGCTCAATCACCCCCACCCACACACCTGTAGAATTATAAAAGAAATCATTGCATTATTATTATACCATCAACTTATATTATAAAGTTATATTTCAGCCATCTCATCAACAGATAATATCAATTACGTTTTTTTTTTTAAATTGCCGAAAAGAGCTTGTATGATGGCAGAATGAATCATCAAAATAGTTTCAACATCACTATAATGCTGATGTAACAGCACATAAAACAACAAATATAATTGCACATATTACAGCACATATAACTGCACATATAACAGCACATAGGGGCCATCCATAAATGACGTCACGCGTCTAGAGGGGAGGGGGGTCAGATTTTTGTGACGAGGGGGAAGGGGGGGGCCTCAAGCCATGTGACGTCACATGAAAAGCAGAATGTTTTAGTAAAGAATTTCACTTAATAACACTAAATTACAGACAATTTTAATATTATTTAAAAAATCAAAAACAATTATAATTATTTTATTTTAAAACTACTATCACTGAGAGAATCAGGTAGGAATGCGAGGTCCGAAGAATGGCCTCTGATCAAGTTACAGGACGCCCAGTCGTAGGAGAATCAGAAGGTAGTTACAAGGACAGTCGTGAGAATGTATGGCTTAATCTGGACACAGGAAGTGGGCGTGGGATGGAGTGGGGGAAAAGGGATGACCGCGGGGTGGGGGGGGGGTATCTTTGTAAATGCACTTGGGCAGGGATTCTTAACCTTTTTTTGCAGCGTGCAGGCCCACATCCCTCCCCAACCGTATAAAATACATTGTAATAAAATTTAAAATAATTAAATAATTTAGTTATCGTAGATTTTATTTCTTTAATTAACTTTTTATAAACAGGGTAAAAAATACCAATACACAAAATGCGCCAATGAAATTCACCATTGACTGCTGCTCATTAAAATCCATAAAAACTTCTTTTTTTTTCTATTAAAGCAATTGCAGCAAATAGAATCAGTGGCGTAGCTAGGGTTGGTGTCACCCGGTCCGGTAAGCTCGTGGTGTCACCCCCCCTCCCCTTTTTATGATGTATTTCTTCTTGTTAAACTTAGCCCACAGTTTAACAAATACAAGAACAAAAACAAATTAATTGAAGGTCAGGGGGTAAATGTATTTAAGAACTGTAACGTTCTTAGAGTCGCCTATTGTTATTAAAGGATAGTTGTATTTATCAGAATTTAGACAGAAATAACTTCCTGTCACTTACAAAAGTTGCCGAATACTTAATTTGGCGTTGAAACATGGTCAAAAGGGTGTGTTTCTGACCTACTAATATGGTAACCTAATTGCTGACGCATCAACCTTGACATTTTAATATTAACGAAGCACGTATTTTGATTGGTTACACGGGTGGACAATGTACGTGTCATCTGTTATCCTTTATGAATTTCGGTTCGACCGATCAGTGTGTGTGCTCTGTAATTACGCTATCTTTCAATTTGGTCTCACAATTATAAATGTAAAAAATAAACAAGGTGCCAACAGAATAGGGTGCCACAAGAATAGGGTGCCAACAGAATAGGGTGCCACCAGAATAGGATACCACCAGAATAGGGTGCCAATAGAATAGGGTGCCATCAGAATAGGGTGCCACCAGAATAGGGTGCCACCAGAATAGGAGACCACCAGAATAGGGTGCCACCAGAATAGGGTGCCACCAGAATAGGGTGCCACCAGAATAGGAGACCACCAGAATAGGGTGCGGCCAGAATATGAGACTACCAGAATATGGTGCAAACAGAATAGGGTGCCAACAGAATAGGGTGCCACCAGTATAAGGCACCACCAGAACTGGTGCCATCAGAGCAGGGCATCACCCGGACAGGCTGGCCCGTAGGAAGTCCCTGGGGAAGTCTGAATGGACCGAGACAATGAGTTGACCGCACGGGGCGACACCACGTGACGTCACTGAACATAAGATAACATAGCGGACCAGGCCAAAAGAGCTGGACGTTAGCTTACGCTGGCTGCCGAACCACGAGTAACTACAACATGTTTGGTGAGTTTCTTGATTATACTGGCCAGATGCAGTGTTGCCAGGAAAAAAAAAATTTTGTGAAAAGAAATATAATTTTATTTAAGTATATTGATCGCTTATTTCCCCTCAAGATTTTCATTTTCCCCCCAGTTCGAGGTCATTTAACCCGGTTCGTCGACCCCTGTAAGGAAAAGTGTGTGTGTGTGGGGGGGGGGGTGTTGACGGGGTGGTCCGCAACAGGCGCCACATTTTTTTCTTTGTATGGAGAGGAGGCATTTTCAGCCAGCTGGATTGTTTTTTGTCGTGGAGAGTGGGTGAAAAGCTTGTCCTACTGAGCCTATGAAAGACTATATTTCTTATATCTTTAATCTACTTATTTCCTCTTTACAGTCCAACCCAAAATGGATGCACTCTACCACCCACAACCTATAGGTCTGGTCTTATGAAACGGATGCACCTTATCCTATAGATCTGGTCTAAAGTGTAAAGTATATTCAACGTCATAAATTTCGACTTATCCTTTCCATAGTGTCTACTGAGTCTACCGCGCTTGCTGTGTTCAAAATTAGTTGTATATTTACCAGGGCAATAGAAGAAAAAAAAAACCCTGATAATATGATATTCTTTGTATTATCTCAGATTCCACGAACTGGGGGAAACATAATCTCAATGCACGAAGGGATTGTGCAAACTGTTTATTGGTTAGAATGCAAAGTGGAAACATAACTGGTGTGTAAAATTTCTCCTAGCCATAGAGCCAAACAAGGATGTGGTTTACATTGCACGACTATGGCTCAGTTGGGCCAGACATCCTGACATCAAACAACCAAACTTTGATGTATGGGATAGAACTAAACAATCCCTAGCAACACGCTTTTTTTGTATAAATCCTTTTATAAAATGTTAAATCGAACAATGGCGGAAGAGGCTAAAAATTTGACAAAACATGCATAGGCGGCCTACAGGTAATGCACATTATAAGTATCCCAATTATTGCCCCCCCCTTTTTTTTCAGGCTCGCAATCATACTTTTTTCTTTTTAGGCCCATAATATTCTAATGATCCACCCACTTGACCCGGCAGGTAGATCTCAGCAATTATTTCAACCAAAAAGATAATAAAATAAGTATCTCTCTATATAAAAATATTACGCAACAAACGCCAATTGCAATATTTTTGCGTTCTTATCGGAAATTTTCCTTCATGTTCTCCTAAAAAAACCAGGAAAAATTGTTTTTTATTTGGGTTTGGGTTGGGTGGGGGGGGGGCTGAAAATTTGAAAGAATAAGTTGTCATCGACAACGAGTCAATGTATAGAAACCGAGATTTCAACATCAAAAGAAGACGGTGACACATTTTACAATGGTTAAAGTGTAATAAAGCTACAAGCCAACCTGCCTTAAAGAACACACACACAAACTTCGCACCGGAAGACGCCTAAATTAAAAATGTGTGTCGTTTAATGCAACTAATTTTTATAATTAAATTAGTCAAATTTAATTTTATGTATTTTCTTTAAATGTTAAATTCAATTCTTTTATATTTAAACAAAAAACTACAGCTTAGGGCCTATTAGGCAACTTATTACAATATAATACCTATACAGTTATTATCTTCTTATATTTTTAGGTTTTAAATGATAATCACATGGGGCCGACATCAAATTAT